AAGGCCCTGTGTGCAGACCCTGTGGTACCAGTCAGGCTGCGCCTAGTCTAGAAAACCCAGGTCCTGTCCCAAAGGCCAGATGGATAAAGACAGTCACCTCCCTGGGCACAGACCCGTAATCTTGTTTCTTTAACCTGTTGCTTTATTGAGGTTTTGATGCCCCTTTTATCCTGTGGATGTCGGTGGGGTCAGCTGGCTACCAGGATAAGAATTCTGGGGGGCAGAGGCACATTGCTTCCCCCCTGCCCAGCTGAGCCCTCAGATGCAGGAAATTCCAGACCTCAAGGTTCCCCAGCTGCCAGGCCAGAAGCACTGGGCACGAAGGCACCTTGCCCACTAGGGATGGCACTGGCCCTCCTCAGCTCTCAGAGTTGGCCCAACAGGTGGGAGCTCTGCACCTCAGACCTTCTGCAGCTGGGGTGAGGCTGGCAGGGCCAGACGTGGCAGCGGGGAGACAGGGCTATGGTGGGACTTCAGGGAAACAGGTTTTATCACTGCCCAGTGCTAGCTCTCAAGGTGCAGAACAGCTGGGTGCCACAGCAAAGGAAGGGATGAGACACCAAGGACCATAAACTGAAGTCCAGGACTGCCCCACACCAGCATGGCCTGCAACACATCACTCACCTCTCCAAGCAGCCTCAGTTTCCCCATGGAAAGTGAGCTCGTCTTGCCAGGCCTTGAGGGTGAAATGCTATCTAAGAACACAGATGAGGCTACGGACAAGTTGCTAAGTGCACCTGTGACCTGCCAGGCTGACCTCACGGCTGCAGGCCATGCAGGCTGGGAGAGCAGCTCTCTGCGGCCCAAGGCTCTGATGTGGAGTGTGTGCCCGTTGCCATGGTGTGAGCCCCCCAGGACCAACTTCATCCTGCCAGGGCCCAGTGGCAGGTAGAGCTGCTGAGCATCTAACAGCTGATCTCCAGGCTGCTCTAACACGAAAAGAACAGCGAACCCCTTGGGACCTCTCCTGTCCCACCAGCAGTGAGGACAGGACACCATGTCCCCTTCATTTGTGAGATCTTCGTGGCTCTGACTGCGGGAGTGCCCCCTCTACACCCCACTCCTCTTCCAGATCACCTGCAGAGTGACACGTGGCTCTGCCCCCTCCACCCTCCTCCCCTTGTGCCTGAAGCCAGAGATGACCATCTTGCATCTCCAGAGAACCCCGATCTTGGGCAGCACCCAGGCAGCAGATCCAGGACACGCAGGCTCCCAGACATGGGGGCAGTGGCCACCGCAGGGAACACTCAGTCCAATAACAGGAGGCAAAATGGCAGCCATGTATGGGTGGCACACAGCACATGAGGCAACTTGGAAAAAACGCCATATATGGGGAGGGGCTTTAGCTCAGAAGGCCCCACCACAGATTGTATTTATTCTCTCACGTATGTATTCTGAATTACAAGAGTGGCTGGATAAATTGTGGCATGTCCACTTGGTGCAGATATTTACAATAATGTTTACAATAATATGGAATAATAATAATATGAAATAATATAGAAAAATATTTTAAAGGGAGGATCTCAAGGTATATACGGGGCTGAGCATGGTGGCACACACCTGTAATCCCAGCAGAATTCTGGGAGGCTGAAGCAGGAGGATTACAAGTTGGAGCTGAAGCTGGACAACTTAGAGAATTAGTGAGACCAAGTCTCAAATAAAAAACACAAAAAGGGATGAGGATGCAGCTCAGTACAAAGGTCTTGGGTTCAATTCCCAGTAACACACACACACACAGTGTATACTGGACTGAGAGTGTAGTTCACTGATAGAGCACTTGCTTAGCATGGGCGAGGCCCTGGGTTCTATCCTCAACACCACAAAACTAACAAAAAATCAAAACCAAAACTCATATTTGGTAAGTGACAAAAACATCAAAATCAAATATTATATGCAAAGAAGAAACATGAAAGAAGGAAAGAAAGAAAGAAGAGAGATAAAAAAGAAAATAAAGGAAAGAGAGAGAAAGAAACAAAGGAAGGAAGAAAGAAAAAGAAAGAAGAAAGAGACAGAGGAAAAAGAAAGTAAAGAGAAAGAAAGGAAGGAAGGAAGGAAGGAAGGAAGGAAGGAAGGAAGGAGGGAAGGAAGGAAGAAAGAAGAAGGAAGGAAGGAAGGAAGGAAAGAAGGAAGGAAGAGAAAAAAAAGACAACTACAACAGGTTAGGACTGCCTACATGGGGGAGGAAGGCTCTGGGTCATGTTTTTTTTTGTTTTGTTTTGTTTTTTTTTTTTGGTTTTTCTCCGGTACCGGGAACCGAACTCACGACCTTGCGCTTGCCAGGCAGGCGCTTTTTGCCACTGAGCTAAATCCCCAGCCCCTGGGTCATGTTTTACACTTTTCTTGGATTTTGTAAAATTCATGTAAACATATATTTTCATGAAAAACTCATCATATTCAAGAAAACAAATGCCCTTGCCAGGCACTGGGATAGACACTCCCTCAACCAGGACATGAGCTTTGATGCTGTCTGACACTTTGCAGAAACTTGCTCTGCAATCTCTCACTACTTTATCCAAGTCCCCAGCCCCCCAGCCCCATGCCCTGGCCTGTTCACCTCCTCAAAGCCGCACACACTGGCCATGGTGCCTCCCTGCTGCAGCCCCACCCCGTGAAGACTCCAGTCAGAAAACCTAGCTCAAGGTCCTCCCGGAAGCCCTCTGAGTCAGCTTCCCATGTTCAGGGCCTCCAGGAGTGGCGACCAGGCAGGCTCCAGGCAGACTGGGCTGTGAATGTGCCTCTACCTAACCCGGAATGCAAGGAGGCAGATGCATCTTCCCAACCTCAAAAGAGGAGAGGCACTTGGTCAAGACCAGCATGGTCCTGAGCACCTACTAAGTGCCAGGCTTTAGGTCCCCAGTGCCAACCCCCAAACACCCAGGCTCCACCCAGAGGCCTACATCCTGGGGCCTCCCTGACCTGCCACACCTCCAGGTCACACTAAAACGATCAAAAATGGCCAGAACGTGGGAATCCCTTTCCTCTCGTCCCTTCACTCCTGCACAGTAAAGCTTTTCAGCAGCTGCTGGATGCGCAATGCCAAAGCATACTGAATGCAAAGGCGACAGGAGGACCCTTTCGACAGGGGTCTTTGTGCAGCCAGACCATCGAGGGATTCACCGAGGTGTGCAGCAGTGCCGCTCCTCTCCCTGTGTTTATTTCCTCTGGAAAAATATCATTTTTTCTAATGGGAAAAAATGCATTCCTTATGCTACCATGTAATGGACTTGTTATCTTTCAATGAGTTGATAAGTATTTCCAAATGTTCTCAGCTATAATTTCTAGTACAATGCATGTGAATACACACAGCCCACCTAAACTGGGGCTCTTTAGTGTCTTTAATAACTTCCAGAGACCAGAAATGCCTGAGAGTCACAGAACCGTTCGTCCTGTCCAGCAGAACTTCAGCAATGAAAGGAAGGCCTGTGTCTACACTGTCCAAATATAGCCACCGTGTGGCTGTAACACTTAACATGCAGCAAGTGGGGCTTCGAGGATGGGGTCTGATTTATTTATTTATTTATTTTTGGTACCAGGAATTGAACTCTGACTTCGCACTTGCCAGGCAGGTGCTGTGCTGCTGAGCTGTATCCCCAGCCCCTAGGTTCTGATTTAGGTGTCATTTTAACCCAGAAATTTAAATAGCCAACTGCAGATGTTATAGTTTATGTCTGGATCTTCACCCAAAGCCTCATGCAGTCATGGGGTGGGCTTTTAGAGTTTATGATTGACCCATGATCCAACGCTGGGATTATGGGTGTGAGCGCTACACCTGCCCTGGGCCGGGTAGTTTTCCATATATAAGGGAGAGAAAGAGGCTGCTCGCTGCCACTTCTCCTCCCTTGTGCTCTTGTTGCTTTTGCTGTCTTCCACCGCCATGAACTGTTGCCCTCTGCCATGTGCCACTCTGCCTTGGAGCCAGCCAAGTATAGACTGAAACCTCCACAAGTTGTGAGCTAAATAAACCTTTCCTTCCTTAATTTTGGGTGTCAGGTATTTTGTCTCAGCAATGAGAGAAAAGTAACCAAGACAGCAGCTAATGGTACTATTTTGGAGAACAGATGATGTCTGGTGTCTCTCTGACCATCTGGGATTCTCTATTTTTATTCCTCTACAAGAGGTGACTTAAAGATACTGTGAATGTTTTAATTTAAAAAAAAAAAAACTGGGGCTGGGGATTTAGCTCAGCAGCACAGCACCTGCCTGGCAAGCGCAATGTTGTGAGTTCGATTCCTGGTACCAGAAAAAATTTTTTAAAAATAAAAAAAAACTGATTACAGTGAAGGAAAAATTTCCAGATGCATTAGGATATTTGAAACAAGGGGGAATATTTTGAGTGTTTTGAGGGAATTAATGTCAATATGTCTTTTAATATATAAATTTTCTGATGTAAACACACCATATTTTATGATCACCCCACCTGGATCAACCTTTTATGGCAATTTCTGTCAAATAAAAACATGACAGTGTGTCTTCATCCACTTTATTCTCTGGATCTAGCACTGTGTGATCTCTGGCTCTCCCAAAAAGTCAGGATGACCATGAAAGGGAAACATTTTGAGTCAGTGCAGGACATGGAGGCAGCCACAACAGTGCAACTTAAGACACACTCGAAAGAGGACTTCCAGAAATGCTGCTGAAAGGGGCAAGAACAATGGGATAAGTGCGTTCAAACTGAGGGGAGGGACTATTCTGAAGGGGATTCATGGTAACATATCTTTACTGTAATAAAACTGTAAGCAGTAACAGCATTTTTTGATAACCCCTGATCGGTTGCTTTGATCAGCAGTGTCTATGAGGGGCAGGAGCCAGCACCCTCTACTCTCCCCAGGGCTTTCTTCCGAAGCTGGGGCAGGGTCTGCCGTGCCCACCAGCTTGGGCTCTGTGCCACACTGGTAGCCAAGGAAATTGGTAATGCCACACATTCAATTTTTCTTTTTTTGAGACAAGGTCTTGTTATGTCGTCCAGGCTGGCCTCGAACTTACAGTGATCCCTCTGCCTCTGCCTTCCAAGTGTTGGGATTATAGGTGTGCACCACCACACCCGGCTACATCTAATTATTGTTTAATATTTTTAAGCTCAGCTCCCTCCTGCCACCCTGGCAGAGACTTAGGGACACTGAGTTTCCGTGGAAGCAGCAAAGGCGGACACTTGGGCGTTACATAATCCTAGCTACAAAGCTTCGCTCCGCTGGCTAGAAGCTGGGTGCCCTTGAGCAAGTCACCAACCCTGTGCTTTCATGTCCTTCCGTGTAAGATCAGCTAATGAGCCTCCCTAGCGGGGAAGCTGTGTCACTCACAGGAAGGGCTTGTAGGAAACTGTTCCCCCACAGAGACCAGGAGCTCCATGCAGGTGGGGCTCCCGCCTCCCCACCTTCCCTGTTCTTCCCTGCATGGCCTCGGGACTTCCTGGCTCTTTCTGGATCCCCATGTGCAATTCCTAGAGCCTGCATCTCCGCCTCCTGCTATACAATGGGCAAGTGCCTGCCTCCCAGCCCTGGGGGCTTTGGCTGCCCCCTTAGCACCAGCAGGATGAAACCAGAGTGGACACCATGAGCCTGCAGGCCCTCCTGTGACCACCGGGGCTTTGCACCTTCAGATCCAGACGCCTTTGATTCCCAGCCTGGCCCCCTCCTCCCCTCCACCCAGCGCTTTCCTTGGGTCCTTCCTGTGGGTCAGGTCCCCGAAGCCATGGGGATGTCCTGGCCACTCCCCACCTCCTCCTGCGTTGCCCTCCCTCCCCACCTGCCCTGGCAATGCCCATGAACTCGGGCCCCAGAGTCAAACTGGCCAGGCCACTGCTGGGGACCTTCCCAGCTTCTTGGGGTGCAACAATAGCCCCCCCTGGATCACCCTGGACACAACGGTCCCTGGATAGACAGAAAGCCAGTGTGCAGCTGAATTCCCCGAGCATGCTCTCTGCCTTTAGGTTGCTCCTGGGACAGAGTCCCCCATATCCCAAGGGACTGGCCTTGGGGAAGTTCCTCTTGCAGTGTCTGTGATGTACTGGGAAAGATCAGGGCCTGGGCTGCAGTCAAATCTGATTCTCAGAAACTCACTTCCTGATGATGCTAAGGAAGAGAAAGGTGTATGACAAGCATGTCTGGAGTTAGAGCTAATGGAGGAAATGTGACCAGGACTCTTCAGAGTGCCCGCTTGTGTCCACACCAGGCTGTCCACAATTGGAAATTTTGCCATGAGTGATTCTTTCCTTTGGCAAACACCCCTGTATTGGCTTATTTTCTGACTGGACAGTTATCAAAACTAATTAGGAGACCAGGCTGGCCATCATGCATTCTTATCCTGCTACATCTCTCCTTGACCCAGCAAGGTACTGCTTTATTATACCCATCTTACAGCTGAGGACACTGAGGCTCACAGAATTTAGGGAACTGACCCAAACTCTCACAAATGGGGCTTTCCAGATCTGATCCCAAGTCTAGCAAGACACAGTCCCTCCATCTAGGAGCTCATGCAGGTACCTGGGTGACACACAGGGTCCTGAGCTATGGTGAAGATGAGCACAGGGAGTGACATGAAGCAGCGAGGAGCGCTTAAATTAGAAGAAGGCTAGATGTTCCTCCGTGCTGATGTCTGAGCTGGGCTTTGAAGGATGAATAGGAGTTAGGTGGATGACAGATGAACATGTTCCCAGCAGAGAGACTGGCATCTCAAAGTGGGGCATGGAGGGGTCGGTAGCCCCAGGAAATGTGCCAGCAAGTGCCCAGGAGAAGGGGCACAAGGAGATGCAGGCATCACACCGAGGACCTTGGGAAGGCTGCAGCGCCATTAAAGCAATCAGTGTCCCAGGCACCCAGCTCTATTCCCAGGAACCAGCCTGCTCCCCACCAGCATCTTGATGCCACACTTCAGGAGGTTCCTACACAGAACCCAGGACCCCCACAAACCCCTTCCCGTCCTTACACCCAGGCAGAGGTCACGTCTCAGTGTCCCGGCCCCTGGCAGGAGCCAGCCTGTCCACAGCTTGCTCTTCTCTCAGCCTTCCAGCCTTGACCCCAGCCAGTGGGAAGCACCTGGTGAGCTCCACGGGGCCACCTGACCCAAGTCAGCTTCCAGGGGCTGGGCACACCTGTATAGATGCACACGTATACATATACACGTGTGTGAGCAGGTGGACCAGTCCAGTCCAAAGCAGCCCGTCTGACCAAGGGAGGTGACAAGGTGGTTTAATACTGGCTTGGACACACAGGGTCCCAGATGCTAGCGTCCTGGGCTACCCTGGAATGTACAAGTGAAGCATAGTAAGGCGCCCTATCTTGGCCTGTCCTCTTCCACCCTGCCTACTTGGGATTCATAGAATAAGAACCTTGAGATTTGAGACAGATTCCTCCTCCAGAGATTCCGAGATACCGGTTCAGATCCTGTCCAGGCGGCAGTGTGCGGACAGGCGGCCCAGCAGGGGGTGTGCTGTTGTACGACCAGGCCCTGCAGAGATCGAAGGACCAGGTCACTCTGCCAAGGCCTCCATACAGGCAAGTTTGACGCTTTGTCCCCCGGGCCCTTCGGAGTGGCCTCTGAGAGTCGCTGTTGGCAGCGAGTGAGAATCCAAGTGTTGGTGTCACGAGGCCTAAATGAGAAGCAAGTGGATGATTTGCCAGGATCTGCTTCCTCCACTGATGGCTGAACGGCTCTCATCATTTCTCAGAAGTTTCCAGGATGAGAAGAGATGGCTGAGCCCACAGTCAGAAAGGCCAGCTGCTCGCTCCTTTTCCGTGCTGAGAGGCAGCTAGGATGGAGCAGAGCATCTGGGCATGTGACTCCACCTCTCTGCTGCCCCCAATCTCCCCACCGCAGGAGCTCCCCGCAAAAAGGGGAGAAGAAGCAGAAGGTTTTAGTGTCAGAAGAGAAATGTGGTCCCCAATGTGGTGACTTTTAACTGCTCCCACTATGAAGCCATTTCAGGGCACACCAGGCAGGACAAGCCAGGAGGTTCCATCAGGATCTGCCCAGGGCACACTGTTGAAAAGTGTGACATCACCCACAGGTGGCAATTGATTGGTTCTGTCTTCCCTGGTCAAGGATATTCTTCATCCCCCACGTACAAGCTGGGTGGCTTTGCCTGAACAGGGACAATTCCCCAGTCAGGACTTTGGCAGCTGAGAGGGAGACCCTGGATACCAAGCTGCACAAAAACCACCAGACTCCTCACTAGAGCACCTCTTGGCCTGTCATTCCCAATATGCCCTTTTCTGAACGTATTAATGTTGGTTGTGTTAGAAAACACCTTTCTAAAGTAGAAACACATTACAGGGTTAATTTCTCCTCCGTGGAAATGGCTAAATCTTTCTTTCCCAATGGGCATTCAAGGGATGGTCTACCTGTCACCAGAAGGAACCTGAGACCCATCAAAAAATCTACCCAGGGAAGAGAAGACAGGCCTCAGCACTGTGCTCTGGGATAGAGTTTGCAGATTGCTTCCCATGATGCTTTGCTCCAAAAGCCCAAATGACCTGTGGCCTCTGGGCCACTTCATTTGGACACCTTGGTCTGCAGGGTGCTGGGCAAGTAGAGGTACCTCCAGATGGCATAGTAGTGAGTACCAGCACCAAATGCCACAAAGAGATGCCAGATGGCATGGGCAAAAGGGATTCTGCCGTCGCTCTTGAAGAACACCATGCCCAAGCAATAGAAGACCCCTCCGGTCATCAGCTCCCAGATGCCTTCGGTGTTGGGCTGTCAGTAAGGACAAGTGGAGGGCACAAGTCAGAGGAGCAGCCAGCTACTCTACCATTACCCAAGCTAGAAGACACATAGATGGCGAGCCAGCCCAGAGTCCCTGAGGGGAGTCTCAACACTGCGATGTCTTCAAGTCTCCCCATATTATTTCTCAAATGTACCACGTTTCCATCAAAATTCCAATGGACACTTCTATGGTGTTTATCTTTTCTAAACTGTAATCCACCCAAGGAACTGAAAGCAGCACCCTGAACAGGCATCTGCACACCCACAGCAACAGTATTCACAGTAGCCAAGCAGTAGAAGCAACCCAAGCATCCACCAGTGTGGATGAGTGTGGAAGCCAAGATGGTATATGCATGCAAGGGGATAGTGCTCGGCCTTGGAAAGGAAGGTTATTTCGATGCATGCTACAATGTCGATGAAACTTGAAGACACGATGCTCGGTGAAATAAACCAATCATACAGAGGATAAATATGCAAAAGTCCATTTCTATGAAGTTCCCACAGTGATAGAAAGTAGAACAAGGGTTGGCAGGGGCTGGGGAGCAGAAGAGGAGTTGTTCCTTAATGGGTATGGAGCTTCAGAATGAAAAATGTTCGGTGGGTGGGTTGTGGAGTTGGTTGTATGGCATTGTGGGAATATATTTCATGCTCTGGATTATATACTGAAAATGGTTAAAATGGTGGAGATATAT